ATCTGTCTCCCCTCCAGCTGCAAGAAGTGGATACCAGTGGGGGATTCTGAATGCAGCTCTGATGACACCAGCATCTCCCACATCTCATCCACCTTGTCAACTCCCATCAAACTGGCCGTGACCCAGCCCAACAGCACCTTCTTTGCAGGGATGTTGGAGAGTGAGCTGAACAAACTCAGCATTCCCTCACCGGCCAAGGATACCGAACAGGGGAATCTGGCTCTCTGCCCCCACCAGTCTAAGTCCAAAATAACCTCTGGGAGCCTGCTGAACCTTGACATCTGTGAGCAGGACACAGACACCTCCTCCATGCTCTCGGAATCCTCTGTGGTCATGAACGTGCCGGAGGCCCCCTTCATCTGTGAACACACCGTCAGCGATTCCACAGCTGTGGTGCGTTTCCCTCATTCATGCATCGGACAAAGGCTCGGTGTGCTGGGCGCTGAGCTAAGCTCCGTGGGGAGTGTGAAGATCCTTCCACCTGCATCCTGACCTTGAGGTCGTGGCTTAGGGAGAGAGGGTGTGTCTGTAAAGAACTCCAGTGCAAGACAGAAAGGGCTCGATGCTGTAGGAAAAGTTCAGATCAAGTGCCATTGGGAAGTTAGAGGGAAAGAAACATTATTTCCAGCTCAGGAATAAACTTGGTGGCTTTTGGTAACATTTGGGCTGGGACACAGAAGTAGGATTTAAACATCTAGAGATGGAGGAGGAAAAGCTTCCATGGAGGGGCTGACCCCCCGTAAAGGCTCCCAGGTGGGAGAGTGTGGGAGGAAGAGCAAACTCGTTTGACCCCAGACTGTAATCCAGGGCTTCACACCTCTCTGTGCCTACCCACCACCTACTGTCTTGCTAAAACTGAGATTCCGGGGCCTCGTTCCTAGAGGGTCTAGGGTGAGGCCTGAGAATATGCATTGCTAACAAACTCCCAGGTGATGCTGCCAGTCCACAGCCTACATGTCGCATAGCACTGTATGGGAATGGGACTAGGGGACTGTACAAGGGGAAAGTTAGCCTGGCGTCACTTTCCAGAGGTCCTCCAACATTAGGCTATTTTATAGATTTTTCTGTAAGCAACAGAGAACAGCTTAGTACACAGCTTTGTATCAGGTGATGGATGTAATCTGAACTGTATTTTAGGAAGATAAACCTGGAAGTGCCATTATTAGATGGTCTAGAGCAGCGTTTCTCAAAGTGTGGTCCCCGATGGGCAGCATCAGCATCACAACTCGTTAAACTTCTAAATTCTCATCCTACCGAGTCAGAAACTGTGGGGGTGAGGACCAGCAATCTATGGGGTACTTCAAAAAGTTCATGGAAAGATTCATAGTCTTTTAATTCTATTTTTCCACAAGCTTATTGAAGTTCATGGAAAAATAGAATTCGCAAGTCCTCCAGGGTATTCTAATGCACACCAAAGTTTGAGAACCACTGGCTTAGATGAGACTGGAAATGGAAGACCAGACAGGAGACACTAGGCCCAGGAATCTGGCTAAGCATCTGGGAGTTTTAAAAACTCCCAGTATTTGGCAAGGCTTGGCAAATACTGTTGTAGTACAACGTGTATGGGCTCTGGAGCTATGGGTTTGAACCTTGGCTCTGTCACTTAATTGCTGTGTGACCATGGCCCAGTCACTTGCCCTCTGTGGACCTGCAACCTCATCTGCGATGAGTGAGGTGAACAAGATGATCTCTAAGGTCCTTGTCAACTGACATCAGTCTAGAAGAAATGTGAATGAGGGTGCACCCTGAGATGGGTGGTACTGCCCAGGGAGAGCAGCACACGGTATGGGGCAGGTGGTTCCGTCCGGTGTTGGAGTGCCTTATACATTCCATCAGACCTGCCTGAGCTCCTGAAAGAGCAGGGGATGGGAGTGGGGCATTCTGAGCCACATTGGGGGGCAGGAAGGGCAGGACAGGACATGCCTGAGGAACCCTCTGGGCTCTCTCTTCCCTTAGATTTCCTGGACCTATTCCTTGGGCAAGCAGCAGATCAGTTTCTACCAGGTCCTGTTACAGGAGGTGGCCAGGAAAAATGATGAGCTGCCCAAGGAAAAGAATCGTCCATGGATCTTCAACAAGATCTTGGGCACTACCGTCAAGCTGATGGAGCTGAAGCCCAACACAAGTTACTGCCTCACTGTCCGTGCAGCAAACACGGCTGGGGTGGGGAAGTGGTGCAAGCCGTACAAAGTGAGCCCTGGGAGAAGAGGGGGTCTGGGGTCAAGGGAAGTCTGAAACCAGGGAACCGGGGCTGTGCAACTTGGGAACACCCCTAGACCCCCATGACTCATCTTGCTGGCTTTCCTTCTTCCTGGGCCAATAAGCATCAATTCCAGGCTGCTTTCTGGGAGGTTTAAGGATTAAGCCACTCTGGGTCCCACTAGGAATGCAAACTGATGTATTCATCAACATTATATAGTAAGATAGTGATTCTATGGTAATGGTGATGAATACATACATAGTTACTATAGGTGTTCACCTTCCGAAGCCATTGGTTTTTGGATTCTGCAACTTACAACTAATAATTGTGAGTGGGCTGGGAAGTCAAGGGCATTGAAACAGAGAGATGAGTCTAAAGGGGAACAAAGAAGGGGACAGCCTGGGGTGGGCAGGGGCACAGGGGGAGAGGCCCGAGTACAGACAGCCCTTTGGTTGGAAACAGCACACAACTGGGGAGGCACAGGTTTGAATCAGGCCTCGTTGGACCTGTTTCCTGTGCCAATGACTGGGTTGGATGGGGCTCTCTAAGATCCCAGTAAGCAGACAGAAAGGGGGTGACAAAGAAAAAGAGAGCTGGGCTCAGCTCTGGGAAGAAATTCTGAGGGGTTTTCTTGTCTCACTTCAGTTTGCAACAGTGGCCACTGACTTCAACGGCTTTCCTGAGAACAACCCCATCCAGATCACTGTGCAGCGCAGGGAACCCCAGCGGAAAACTGTGTCCATTGCGCTGGAGGAGATGCGGAGGCTAGAGGATCTGGAATACCTATTTCCCTACTAAGGGGGAGGGCCACAGGATGCCCCTCATCTACCTTCAGCTTCAGTCCAGAGCTCTCAGGAACCAGAACCATGAGATGTACCATACTACCAGCACCATGCTAGGGAACCACTGACCACCCCACCAGCCCAGGGCCTGGCTGCTGTGATACCATAACCCCACCCCTGGGCTGTGGCCAAGGCTAGACAGGAGCCCCATCTACCTAGAGACATCTCAGGCCAGGCCAGGCTCAGCCACTGCCCACAGTTGCTAGGCTCCCTCCTTCCCCAGATCTGGGCTGGGTCCAGGTCCCTCACTAAAGAACTGCAGGTCATCAAGCACCCCTAAATTTTTCTTCATGCTGCAGCCAGTCTCAGATGGGCTGGCTGTCACCCACCTCCTGCCGACTACCAGAACCAAGGGGGATGGAAAATGGGTGGCTGGCAACGGGATGCTACCACCACCTATGCATCACCCAGTCCCCTGGAGGGAGGGAAAGAGACGGGTTCTCAAATCCTAAAACGCTTTTACACCAGGAAAAAAGCAGTGGTGGCCCAGACTGTCAGCACTAGACCTGAGCTCTGGAAGATGTGATGTGAAGTGCACAAGCCCTGGGGTGGGGCCTGGTTTAGCCCGGTCTTCCCGTCGCTGCATGGGAGGGCATGGGCAAATCATTTAAGCTTCCTGGGCTGTCTCCTCATCAAAAATGCCGAGACACGAGAGACTTGCAGGCATGGATGCAGAGTTCCTGTGAGGACGGTGTGCGCACAGCAGAACAAGTGCCTGGCAGCGGGAGGAGCTCAGCAACGGGCAGCTCCGTCAGCCCCAACACAGCCTCACTACACACATATGCAAGGTGGATGCAGAGAACCACACTGCCCATACCTGATGGGCAAAAAATCCTGACAGCACAGACAGGGTGGGGAGGGTGAGAAGGAACAAGATACCAGAAGTGCTGCAGCCCTTAGCAGCTTGTACAAGGATGGTTTGGAAGCCCAACCCAAGCAGATTATACCACGATCCAGTTTAGCATGAGGAAATTTAGCAGGAGAGAGGGAGGCAGGGGGAGTGCAGGCCAGGATCCCGCTCAAGGGTCTCAGGAGGTCCCGGTGGGGATTCTTTTCATTACTTGAAAGTTCTCATGGGGGCTGACGATTAGCTCAGTTGGTTAGAGTGCGGTGTTATAACACCAAGGTTAAGGGTTTGGATCCCATACTGGCAAGCTGCCACACACACAAGGAAAGTTCTCATGGGGCAAAGAGCTGTTCTTCCTACCACATCATACCCACTTCCTTCCCCGTCAGAGAGGGAATCCCATGGGATAGCCATCACTGTCACCTCTATCCTGAGCCTAGCGCAGTGCTTGGCGCCTGGCAAGGCCTCAAGAAACATGCTGCAGGAGAGGCAGGGCACCCACCAGAGTAGGGCTGGCCAGCAGAACTGTGATGATGAAAACATTCTTTATCTGTGCTGTTCCATCCCGGAGTCTTAACTAGCATGACTGGGAAACTACACTCCTAACTGTATTTAACTCTGGTTCATGGAAATAACTGCAAGTGGCTAGTGCCTACCACAGTGGACAGCATGAATACAGTATCCTGTGGCCGCTATCATACCGACCTCTCCCATGCAGGCATGGGGGAAGAGAGGAAAGGCAACTTCCTGGTCTGTGTGGTTTAGTGTAGTCCAGAGCAAAGGAGGGGGCTAGAAAAACTGATTTAGCGCAGTACTTGATTCAGCCCTGGGGATTCTAGGACAAGGAACAATAACCCAAACACACAAAATATAAGTTATTTACTTAATCACAGAACCCAGGGTCCGAAACTGAACTGAGCTGACACTTGGAAAAGGGGACAGGGGCAGCAAAGGCCCAGCCGTCTTGCCTGGCCTCCCCCACCACTGCCAGCACCAGCAAGGTACAGAGGGTGACCTTTGATTTCCGGCTCTGGGGTGTGTCACAGGCAGGGGACCTGTGGGAAGGCCCCATTAGTGTGTCGAGGACAGCAGGCACAGGTGTTCTCAGGGCAACTGTGAGGAGGATGTGGGCACTGCCACCCCGGCCTTTATTCTCTGGAGGGCAGGCAGGAGCAGAGGCTCAGTCCAGCTGAGGGTCAGAGAACTGTAGGACTTCTCATCTCCTCCATCTGTGGAGAAGGGGAGGGAGTCAGATGGGGGTCCCGTTTCTGCAAAGGGGATGCCATATGACCCAGAAGCTCGTTGTGGGGGACGGCCTGTGGTTCACCCTCAGAGTCATCACAAGCCTGGCCACCCAAACTCACTACCCACACACTTCTTGCCTCAGCCAGGACCAAAACCCTGGGCCTGGCCCCTGGGATGCCCACCACTAGTGACAATCGTTTACAAGTACACCACGCTTTAGGTTCCAAAGTGTGTCTCCCCTCCTATCTTCGATCCTCCTGTTTAAAAAGGTTTGGTAATTCCCAAGAGACAGTTAACCAAGTTCTCCATGAATGTACACTGAAAGGCAGAACCAGGATGAGAACTCAGGTCTTGGGACTCCAAAGTCCAGTGCTTTACAAGAACTACTGCCTCATGCTGGAGACCCTGGACACACCTTGTAGCTAGTGGCCTGGGTACTTTCAGGGTCTCCCATAATCCCTTTAATTCCCATAGCCCGCCTGCTTGCCCACGGAGAACCTGGCTTCACACCTCCTCAGGACAGTGTGAGCATCTGGAGGGCCCCTCAATTCTATGCCACAAGGGAAAGGGTACAAAGAGGGACCAACTCAGGGCAGGAGAGCCGAGCACACCAACCAGCACCTCCCCCGCCACTCACATCCGGAGGCATTTGTCCTTCCCGCCACTTGCCACTCCCTGGCCGTCTGGACTCCAGTCGACAGCATATACCTAAACCAAGGAGGAGGAAGGAAAGCAGGTGGTGAGGGGAAGAATGCCAGCTGCAACTCCAGCCCCTCTCCTGCCCACAAGGGTGGGCCCTACCTCATCTGCATGGCCGGGCAGGTCTGTGGCCAGCTTCTGGGCCTTCACATCCCACACCTTCAGTGTGCTGTCACTGCTGCCGCTGACCAGCAGCCGGCTGTCAGCTGACCACGCAATCTGGTACACAGCAGCCACATGGCCACGCAGGGAAGCCAGGTACCTGGGCCAGGGAAGACAATGATGGATATTAGATCTTCAGGCATGTCTGAGGGGTCCCCTATGCCCACAGCAGTGGTCTGCAAACCTGGCCACGTGTTAGAATTACCTGAGAACTCCTATAAAATTGCACTGCCTGGCCCCCGCCCCACACCATTTTAATCACTCCTGGTCATTACTATTTTGTAAAACTTTTCCAAATGAGTTGCTTCTAGGGTACGCCCCTTGCTAGGCCTCCTGCACAACTCTACATGCCTTGGACTCCAACACAGCCATCTGCCTAGCCCATTGGCCTGACATCCCAAAAGTAGCAGTTGCTTACTGACAGGTGGCATGGAAAATCAGTGCACCAGGCCACGTGGAACTTTCAAGTCACTACAGTCTCTAGCTGGGTCTCTCTGGACAAGCCAATGGGCCTGAGACTTGGTTTCCTTATTTTAAAAGGAATCGAATTCCCTATTTCGAAGTGCTGCTATGTGAAAATACACAAGGACTGACACATAAGTTCCCTTTCAGCTCAACAAGGGCTTCCCTTGCTCCTTTTCTCCATTTGCCCAAGCCTTTGCCTCTCCTGCACCCTAATGAGCCCCAAGGGCCTTGTACCTCATTACACCTGGGCTTCTCTAACATTAAGGAGTAGCAGAATAACCCAGTGACCTTATTAAGATGCAGATTCTGAGCCACAAGGTCTGGGTTGAGGCTCAAGGTTTCCTCATTTCTATCAAGCTCCCAGGTAATGCTGATGCTGCTGGCCTGCGGACCACACTCTGCGGAGGGTGAGATGATGACTGTACCAAAAACCTTCCATTTCATCTTCTTCAGGGCTGCCGTACCCGTGGCCCTCTGGTTAGCTCTAAGATCATTTCTCTCCTTTGATATGATAAACTAGCATTTTCAGTGCCCACTTAGTGCTGGTCCCAAATATACCATCTCATCTAATCCTTGTGACTAAGCTGAGAGCAGGGGGTCTGCATATAACAGAAGAGGAAACAGAGGCTTAGAAAATCCAAACACTTGCCAAGACTACCCAGTTAGTAAGTGGCAGTGCCCAGCTCCTTCTACTATTCACTCCTTACAGAGGGACGTCCCCCTCCCTCCACTCACTTGCCCGTCCTGCCATCCCACAGCTTGATGGACTTGTCAAAGGAGGCACTGGCCACGATGCGGGAGTCAGGAGAGAAGAGCACCTGGTTGATGAGGGCCTGGTGTCCCGTCATCCGCGCTAGGGGTTTCTTGTCCTCTGCTGGGGACCATAGGAATAAGGTGAAGTCATCCGAGCCAGACACCAGCCTCTCTGGGCCCTGGCCCTAGGGGAAGCAGAAAGCACACCATGTCAGAAGTAGTCTCCGATGGGAGAGCCCATCCTTGATTGCAAACACACACCACAGATTACCCAATACCAGGGACAGAGGCCAGGGCAAGGAAAAATAGGCCTGCGTGGGCCACTCACTCACAGGAAAGTCACTTCACCCAAAAGGAAAAGGAAACTCTACCTGCACATGAAATGATTTCTAAGATATATAATACGTGAAAAAGCAAGGTACAGAATGGTGTGTTAAAAGGGGAAGAATTTCATATGCGGACGATATGTGTATTTGTTTGTAATTATTGTACATATATATATATATGTGAATAGATGAACACTTCCAGAAGGAATGGATGACTGTGCAACAGAAATGGGAGACATTTCACGATCTACCTCTTTGTATTCTTTGATCTTTAGACCAAGTGAACGTGTTAAAAAAACAACCTAGGGCCAGCCTGGTGGCGCACTGGAGAGTGTGCCGCTTGCGGCGCTCCCGCCGAGGATTCGGATCCCATGTGGAGACCGGTTCCCGCTCACTGGCTGAGCGCGGTGCAGGCGCAACACCGAGGGTTGCGATCCCGTTGCCGGTCCCCGGTATGGGCGCGACACTGAGGGTTACGATCCCGTTACCGGTCAGTAAAAAAAAAAAAGACAAAAAGGAAAAAAAAAAAACAACCTAAATAAAATAAAGAGGTACCTTGGGAATACAACAAATAAGCAAGTAAAAAAGCCAAAGAATAAAACGACTCCTGGTACATTAAGATGTTAGGACTGCAACCTAGATTATCAAGAACAACTTTTCGGAGGGCTGGCCTGTTAGCTCAGTTGGTTAAAGCACAGTGTTGATAACGCCAAGGTCAAGGGTTTGGATCCCCATGCTGACCAGCCAACAAAAAAAGAGAACAACTTTTTGGAATAGGTACATTCTGAACTGGGACTAGAAGCGGGTGGGGTCTGAGTGTCTGTGGAGCATGTTTCAGTGACTAGCTGAGGAAGAGCACAGGGCTGGAAGTGCACGCAGCTGGCACACACTCACCCGCACGAGGTTGTATCGGCTCAGTGCCCTCTCCTTCAACTCCTGCACTGTGTCCAGGTAACAGAGGGGAGAGGAGGAGATAACAAACAAGGCTGATTGGAAAATCCAACACAAAAACCAAACATCCCCCACTAAGCTAGAGAACTGACTCCTTCCCCTCTCCCCTCCTTCTCCTGCTCACTCACTGGACCCTTGGAGGTCTTGTGCATTAACTGAGGCCTCGGCGGGCTCGAAGGCTCCTGTGCGCAGGGCGTAGTCAGTGCTGAGGGCCATAGTGTTCACCCAGTGGCCATGGCCTTGCAGAGTCCGGCACAGCACACCCTATGGTAGAGGGAGACAAGTCAGACACACACACAAACACACCATTCTCCACTCTTGGGAGATCCACCCCATGGCATGGTGGCACAGGAATAAAAATCAGGACCCCAAGCCTTCTTCACTCGCTCACTGTGATCTGAATCAAATCACCCCTCTGGGCTCAAGTCTCTCCCCATTTGTGAAATGAGGACACCTGTCCAGATCAATCTTTCCAAAAATATGTTTCAAAGAAGAGAAATGAAATACGTCAGAATAAAAGGGCTCCAGTCAAACGTTTGGGATATAGCAGGTTCAATAAAGCTAAGCCAGCTTCCTACAGCAGGAATTTCCAGGGCTTGATCATGCTAATGGGGACATGAGAATCTCCCTATGGTGCAGCACGAACCACAGCACAGAACGCCTTGTTTCTGAAGCACCTCCTCTAACCAGGGCTCCCAACACACATCTCAGAAACACTGGACTCGATGATGTCAAGGTCACTCCCAGCACTGGCATCCCATGATCTGAGATTTGCCAGACTGGTTTCGGAACCCTCCCAGGTCTTACATCATGAGCCCTCCAGACTTTGATGGTGCGATCCTGGGAGGCGGAGTAGAGAAGCCCATCCCCTCCCCACCGTAGACAGGTGACCGACTGGGTGTGCCCGGTGAGGATGCGCTCACAGCGGCCTGCAGTTGTGTCCCAGACCCGTACACAGCCATCCTTGGAGCTGCTGGCCACATAGCGGCACTCAGGATTCCTGGCAAGGGGAAGGGAGATGTGACCTCATTTCTGACCTGGCAACACCTGTCTGCCCACGGCACCTCCCCGTTCCCAACTCAAAGGCCAGGGCCAAGCTGTTGACAGCTTCCTGACCCCAAGACCTGGATGTACTGCAAGGCTGTTCGCAGGCGCCATGATGAACAACCTCCTCCCAAGCAGCAAGGCAGGTCGGGAACTGAAAGCCTTCCCCACTGCCTGCTACACTGCCACTGTCATTCCGGCTGCCCATCTTGTCCCCTCACATAAAACTTCTCTGCATCAAGCAGGGAATGGGGACAGCTTTGATCCCCGGCTCCTCATCTGCCCCAGCTCAGTCAGTGTCACTCACGCATGGAGGGGCTCCCAGCTCAGGCCCGTGATCCACTTGCTGTGGCCGGCGAGGGTCCTGCCCACCTGCCTCCCTGTGCTTGGGTCCCACAAGAGAATCTGAAAGACAGAAATTCACTGAATAACCCTCCCTAACTTATCCCTGACCCCACAAAAAGTCCCCCATCTACTGCCCCCCACCCTACCCTCCCTGAAGACCCCAGAAGTAATTCTAAACTGTCCCCCAGGGAGGGAGCCCCACATCCCTACCTCGTTATCCTGAGTATCACCTACCTGGCCATTCTTGCAGCCTGAGGCCAATTTTTTGCCATCTGGGGACCAGGATATGCTAAGGACCCAGTGTCTGTGTCCTAAGAAAGTGGGGTGGGGGGAGAAAAGAGGGACCATACCCATCTTTATCCCAAGTGCCTAGCAATGCCTGGCATACTGCAGGCACTCCTTAAACATTTGCTGAATAAATGAACAATTGAAAAAAAGGAGAGATGAGGCTTTCTAGGCAAAGAGAGAATGCACTCCAAGTGCTAGGGCTATGCATCTTGCTGCAAAGATAACACCACCACTTTCTAATAATTCTTTATGTGACACACAGGAAAAACTGTTTTCATACACATCACCCTTGCAATTCTCACAACAGCTCTAAGGTATGGAGCAAAGTGGGAATTACCATTTTCATTTTCTAGATGAGAAAACTGAAGCTTAGACAGGGAGCATGTCCTACACACACAAGGTCACCCCACTAAGTCTATGAAACACTGGTGGTGCTCCAAGTGTGGTCCCCAGGCCAGTAGCATCACCATCACCTGGGAACTCATTAGAAATGCAAATTCTCAGGCCCTACCCCAGACCTAATGAAATGAAAACTCTGAGGGTGGACTCAGCAACCTGTATTTTAACAAGCCCTCTAGGTGATTCTAATGTGTGCTAAAGTTTGAGAACCACTGTGGCAGAGGCTGGATTTAAGCCAAGGTCTCTTCACTACCGGCCAGCCAGCTCCTCTCCACAGCCCCAAGTTGGCTCTTCGGTCCAGTCTCTGCTTGCTTGTAAGTGGCTGGTTGGGCTCTGGGTATGTTCTCTACCTAGTAACAGGCAACTGTTAACCGGATGTTAAGGGGTTGGAATCTGCTCTGGGCCTCCTCAGGAACTAAAGAGCTGAGCCAATCAGCCACCCACGATTGCATTAAGTCCCCCTGGATGGCTAACAGTATACTGACCCTTGCATGTGAAATGCGGTGTCTCCGTGCTGAGATCCCAGAAGCGCACAGTGGTGTCTCCAGAGCCACTGGCCAGGTACCTGGGGAAGAAGAGAGGCCACTTGACCTCTGCAGTGCTGGGTGACTGGTGGGGCCCACCCCAGTCACTGTACATGTGCATTTCTGCTGCCTATTCAATCATCTTCTATGAATGGAATCTGGACTAGACCCTCTCCTCTCTGAAGAAGGATATATAACACTGATGCCATCTGGGAAAAGACCCCGGGAGGCCATTTCTCTCCTCTTGCTTCCTAAGAGGAATGGGTACAGCTTTTGAAGTTTCCCGTTATCCTCATAGGATTGTGAGAGGCAATTAATCCCAGTTTCACAGACAGAAAATTGATGGAAAGGTTAAGTGACTTGTCCTAATAGCAGCTCAGAGGGGGCAGAGCTAACCTTGCAGCTCAGATCTCCTGAAATCAAGTCCAAGAAGGGCTCTTCCAAGGCAGGTGTCCTTGGCCATTGGGGACCAAGCTCCACTGGGGGAGTCCCTTAATTGCAAGCTGAGCCCAGAGCTCAGGTTTATGGTAGGCAACCCAAGGCCCATCAATCATAACTCTGGGGGACACTCCCCACCCCAGTCAGAGACTGCAAACACATCCCTCACTCCGCCCCCCACAATTATGCATCTGTCCTTACTTTCCCGTGGGGCTGAAGGCCACAGAAATGACGGCCTCGCTGTGACCCTCCAATGAGCTGGTGCAGCGGGTCACACCCCGGACCCTAAAGATAGCCTGTGGCTGGTAGATGATGTCTAGGACCTTCTCTGTCTCCACTGCCTGGGACTCCAGCGTCTTCCCCAGTGAGGAGACGATCTCAGCATCGTGGACATAGAAAGCCAATGGCAGAGGATCCTCCTGGAAAGCAATGGTAAAGGGCAACTCCCTCACTGAAGGACATGCAGGGGCCACCTCTGCCAGGGATGCTCCCCACTGAGCTGTGGGAGGTGAGGCTGCTTCTTTTCAGCCACCCTGTGTGGGACACCCTCATTATTGCCCATTGAGCAAGACCTTTTTAATCCTTGAAGAGCAATCCTAGAAAACTTAGGTATCACTTTGAAATCCTTTATCTGCATCTTATGACAACCCTGGGACACACATTAATATTCCCACTTGATAGACAAAAAACGGTGGCTCAGAGGAACTAAAAATTTAGTTCGATGTCTTTTTGCTATTGACTAATTCAAGTTCTTTAGAAGTCTTCGAAAAGAACACTGAAGTCCAAGATTAAGGTTAGCATAGAGCATTATACAGCGTTTTCCAAGCCACCATGCTCCACATGCTGTAAGAAGCATCCAAAAAGCTGGTTCAAAATGAAAACTCCCTGCTTCACCCCAGAGTCCAGTTTAATAAGTCCGGGGTGGGGTCCAGGAACTGCATTTTTACGCACCATTCTCCACCCCCCCTTCCCCGCCCCCCGCCCAACTGAGGGCGGCACTTCCATAAACTTAGCTGGCTTAAAGCGTAAGAACATGGATTTTGAGTCTGACAGATTCGGGTTGCATTTCCAAATCTACCACCTACTGGGTAGCATCGCGCAAATTATTTAATCCCTCCGGGCGACACACTAAAATGGGGATATTAATACGTCCTGTCTGGATTGGCCATTACAAGGAATCAATGAAATATTGCACCCAATGCATTCAGAACACGGCCTCTCCTCACGTAGGCCCCATTGATCGCCCTGTAAAGCGCTCTCACGCCTATTCCATCTTCTGACCCTCTCCAGAAGCAGTGGAGACTCACGCAAGGGGGGTCACCCACTGTCGGTGAGTACTAGGGGACCCTGACCGCAGACCCTCAGCCTCCTGATCCCCCACCGGGCCTTCCCCCGCGCGCCGCTCACCTGGGCCAGCAGCGCGTTGCACACGAGCTGCAGCCTGTCCGGGGTGATATCCACGGGCACGTCGAACGGGGAGCCCAGCAGCTGCCCGCCCTCATCCTGGAACTGCACTAGCAGCCGCTGGACGTCGCTCGCCGCCGCCGCCTCCTGCGCGAACAAGCGGGGAGGGCGTCAGCCTCGCCGCCCCGATCGGAAGGCCCCTACTTCGCCTCCCTCCGGCCGCGGGCACCCGGGCCCGAGCGCCCAGCGGTGACGCCCCCGCCCCATCCACGCACACCCACCGCCGCCACCGCCGCCATCCTGCGTCCCCACGCTTGCCCTAGGAGATTTCAGTCTGATGAGAGAGGTAGGCTGAATACATTCACTGGATACACCATGGGAGGAACAGGAGATGACACACACATTAAAACAAAGGGCGGGCGGGCCCGCAGCCGGCCACATCGCCCTCTGGTGCTGCGGAGGAGAAATGTCACTCCGCGCCCGGCCTCAGGGGCTGGGAATGGGATTCCCCGGTGGTCCTCGCTCCCGTCTTAGTCTCTCCTCGGAGGCGGTCGCCGCCTCTGTATTCAGTCCCTCCCGGTGCCTTATAGGATATAGACAACCTTCTGACTTTTCACAGCAGGGATTCTCGTCCCGTTTTATAGATGAGGAAACTGAGGCTCTAAGAGGTTGATTGATTTTCCCCAAGATCACAGAAGTAGGAACTGCAGAGGACTGAACAGGCCAGGCTCCAGGCCCAGCACCTCTGCAGGGTGGCTTACAAAGCCAGAAACAACTATTGGGTTGAGGGCGAAATTACTATTCTTTTTTAAATGGATCAAGTCAATTAATAATCCTTGATGAGTACAAAACCGAAAAATGTCTATAGTTAATATGTAAAGCAAATGTAAAGTTAAAATGCAAGTTAAATGTAAAGCAAAAATAATAGCAATGTGTCAGGCACTGTTCTAAATGCATTACACACCTAGCTCGTTTAATTCTCACAACAATCCTTTTCTGCCCATATTACAGATGAGGAAGTGAGGCAGAGAGCAATGAGTGTGAGCTCTCTTATGGGAAAACTGAGATCTTCCTCGGAGACTCTTCTGTCCCTTGCCCAGAGTCTGGAGCTGTCAGTTCTGCCTCACTAACTCAGCTGGAATCTGTTCTCTCCATCTCCATTGCCACCATTTCCTGCCTGGACCACTACAATAGACTCTTGACGGACCTGCCTGTTTCCATTCCTGCCTCCTCCAGTCCATTCTCCACGCTGCAACCAGGGCAAGCTTTCAACCAAAAATCTGGTTGGTTACTCTTCACCCTAAAACCTTGCTATGGCTCACTTACATGCACAAAAAACCAAACTCCTGATGATGAGCCACTCAGTCTTGCTATCACCAGCCACTCTTCTCTCAAATCCTTCTGTTTTTTTCTGAGCTCTTCCAAGGCATGGCTCTTCCTGAATCAGTGCTTTTGCATGTGCAGTTTTCTCCATCTGTAACTGCTATGGACTGAACTGTGTCCCACCCACCATCCAATTTCATATGTGGAAGCCCTAACCCCTGATGTGACTGCATTTGGAGACAGGCCCTATAAGGAGGTAATGAAGGTTAAGTGAGGTCATAAGGGTGGGGCCCTAATCAGATAGAACTAGTGCCCTTATAAGAAGAGGAAAAGACTCCAGAGCACTCTCTCTCTCTGTACCCCCATCCTCACCCCACCTTCACCCAAGCAGACACAGAGAAGAGGCCATGTATGGACACAGTGAAAATCCAGCCATCTGCAAGCCAGGAAGAGACACTTCACCAGAAACCAACCCTGATGGCACCTTGATCTTGGACTTCTCAATTTCAGAAAACAAATTTCTGTTGTTTAAGCCTCCCAGTCTCTGGTATTTTGTTATGGCAGCCCAATCAGACTAAGACAGGAACAGTTTCTCATTCTTCAGGTCTTGCCTTAAATATTCATTCATTCATCCAACAAATGTATTAATCACCTACTCTCTGCTAGACATTGTTCTAGGAGCTCTACATATTTTCACTCATTTATCACTTAGGGAACCTTCTCTGAAAAAATGTCACATTTCCCTGTTATATGTTTTAAAACATCCTGGTATTCCTCACAGATTCATGGAGTTATATCATCTAGTCAACAAATATTATTGAGCAGGCAGTATGTACCACAAATTGTTATAGGCACTTGGAATATGTAAGTGAGCAAAGTAGACACAAATCCTTGCCCTCATATGTGCTCTCTGCTTCCATCATCATTCACAGTTCCCAGCACATAGCAGATGTTTAAGAAATGCTTGTGGAGTGAATTACTGAATCAGAATTTGAATCTAGGATCTCTTGGACCTAGAGTCACAGCACTGTACTTCTGTGCCAATGGCAGGATTCTCTATCATATTACCTCATTGTTGCAGAGAACTTGCCCCGCAAAAGGACGCATGGTTCAGGATACTGTGAGGGCAGGGAATTCATCCATCCATTCATTCGCTTATTTGTTCCTTCAACAAATACATGTTAAGGTTGGGTCTTGTGTCCAGCAGGGCAGTAGAACCTGTCCAAGATCACATAACTGTGTGTCCAAAGTCATAGAGCTAGGAGCAGAACATAGTGTGGGTGACTCCACCTGTGCTTTTTCTCTAGTGTCTTTCTCATCCCTGGCCAAGTTTGAAAATATATGGGAACAGGGGCTGGAGGTGAGTGGAGCAAATCATCAGCATGAAGACACCATTCATTCATCCATCCATTCATTCATTCAGGAAACACACATTAGGCACTGACTCTGCCAGGCTCCATGCCTGGGGAGCCAAGCTACATGAGATGTGGTCCTTGTCCTCTGGGAGGGAACTCACGGCCCAAGCATGGAGACACGGAAAGGCAGGAGGGTTCTGAGTCCAAGTGGGGACAACCTGATAAATCTGCCTCAGGAACCCTCAGTCAGATGAGAAGAAACAATTCCTGCTCCAGGAGAGACCCCTCTGTGATGCTCAGTACATAGTTTTTGTCTCAGGAAGACCCTCTTCTGATAAGGGAGCCTCAGCTTGTCCCAGAAGAGTTCCCAGTCAGATGTGGGATACAGTCCTTGGTCTCAGGGAATTCTCAGTCTGACCCAGCCCTTGCCCTAGGAGATTTCTTTTTTTTTAATGACTGTTAAGGGGATCTTAACCCTTGACATGGTGTTCTGAACACCACACTCTCCCAAGTGAGCCACAGGCTGGACCTTGCCCTAGGAGATTTCAGTCTGATGAGAGAGGTAGGCTGAATACATTCACTGGATACACCATGGGAGGAACAGGAGATGACACACACATTAAAACAAACCCACTTACACTACACTAAGTTAACAAGCCCTGTTGGTCTTTCTGAAAAGCAAAGGCGTTTTCAACACGTGAATGCGGGGTTGGTTGATGTGTTGCTAACAAGTGGAAGAAGAGAAAAGCCTTTCCTCCCATCTTCCTTCCCCCCTCCCTCCAGAAAGGCATTTCTGGAAGTCTCCAGTTGGTCTGGGACCTGGGCAACTGCTCTATGTGTCCAAGTCTGTCAATCCCTCAGCTGTCACTCTGCTCCCAAAATAGCAGTGGTTGGGGGGAGGGAGAGGAGGCTGTTTGTCTGGGATGGGGTGAAGAAGGGGCATTATAGCTGTGCCCAGGCAGGGGGGGCTACTCGGGGATTCCCATCCCTTCCGGACCTTTCTCTCACTCTTTGGGGTATGAGTGCTTGGGCCTCCCAGGACTACCCCTGAGCAGTGTATTCAGCAGAAGATAGTCAGCACCACCACGTGGTCATGACTGTCCAGTCTAGAGAAGGGGAGGGCCCTTAATATCAATGACAGACTACAGGGACACCTGCCCTTGTGGCCAAATATGGTCTGGAACCACTGGCAGTGGTGATAAAGTCTCTGGGGTGAGTGCTGGGAGGGGCAGATTGCAGCCGGCTGGCCAGAGGTTGACACAGAAGAACTCAGGGGAGCAGCAACCCAGGAGGGCAAATACAAAGCATTGTCCTTGCTGAGAAAGTAAGCTGGGCCCAGGAGTGTTCCACAGCCTGGGGAAGGAGGAGAGGGAGAATTTTTAAGGCCTGCAATGAGAGTTTGTGGCTCTCGCATGGTGGCTTCACCTGCCCAGGCTGGAAGGGACCCCTCTCAACTTGGGCCAACCTCTGAGCAAATGCTGTAATGTCCTTCTGGGGATGGGTCTCTTCTAGAATTTCCATCTTCCACCCTGGTGGGAGGGGACCCTGGAGCTCCAGAGCTCAGGCCAGGAGCCGGGTAGAGCTGCCCCTGTCCCGACAGATGGCAGAGGCAGAAGCAGTGCAGCTGAAGGAGGAAGGGAACCGGCATTTCCAGCACCAGGACTACAAGGCCGCGACAAAGAGCTACAGCCAGGCCCTGAAGCTGACCAAGGATAAGGCCCTGATGGCCACACTGTATCGGAACCGGGCAGCCTGCGGACTGAAAATGGTCTGAGGCAGGGCAGGGCCCTCGGGGCTGGGGGACAGGGGTGTGGAGCAGCCCCTCATCCCGATAGGTACTGGCCATCCCCCCAGCTTGGAGATGGGTGCCTCCAACTGCCTGACTCTATTCTGGAGAGACAAATTCATCCAGATCAGAATCAGCTTAATGCCAGGGGCCTTCCACATGTTATTTCATGGCATCTTAATAATAGCCCTGTGAAGTAGCCCATATAGCAGATAGGAAACTCAAGGCTCAGAGGGCTTAATTAACTTGCCCAAGCACTCTCAGGAAGTAGCAGAGCCGGGGCTCAAGCCCGCGTTTGCCTGATGCCAGAGGCTGTCTGCCTTTGCATGCCCGGTAAGGGGTGCATCGTGGGCCTCTGACGGCCTGCAGCTCCCCTGGCAAACCCTCCCCCCTCACTGTGGGGACCCCTTCTGGCTGCCTTTGCATTGGGCCGCCATGAACTGAGTCTCCTCCCCCTGTCCCATTTCTCAGGAGAGCTATGTCCAGGCAGCTTCAGACGCCTCGAGAGGTGAGCACCCCGCCTTGCCTTGCCCACACATACTCTCTGTATGGTCTGTGTTGCGTTTTGATCTGTTTACCTTTTTGTGGGGAAGAAACAGTGATTGGAGTGAGTTCAGAAGGGAGGGAACCAGCTGGAGAAGGGACTCGAAGCACATCCTGTGCAGAGCAGTTGAAGGGAGCAGAAATATTTAGCGCAGAGAAGGCAACTCCCAGGTGGGATGGAGGGTTGCCCCAGATACCTGAAAGGCTGTCACAAGGAAGATTAGATTTCATCTCTGGGGTTCCAGAGCAGAGCTTAAGATAAAAGGGCAAAGTTGCAGGGAGCATATTTCAGGTAGGAAGGGTGGTCTGATGGGGCAGCCTGGCTATCTTGAGAAGGAGGGAGCTCCCCATTGCGGGAGGTATGCAAGAAGCTCCCCATTGTGGAGCTACACAAGCACAAATTGTATGAGACCTTGGCAGGGATCCTGTAGCAGAGACTGAAGCATAATGAATTGGATGAGGTGGCCCTTAAACTCTCTTCCAACCTTGAGACCCTGTGGATCTTACTGCTTCCCTAACAAGGGGAGATATGGGCCAGATACTCCTTCCACACAGGTGGATGATCTCCAGGGAAGACACAGAGCCCCACCAAGAGCATGATTCCTGGAGTTGGAACAGTGGGGGCTGGGAGGAGGTGGTCTGCAGCTCAGACTCCTGAGGCCCTTCCTGTCTCCTCTCGCTAGCCATTGACATCAACTCCTCAGACATCAAGGCTCTGTACCGGCGATGCCAGGCACTGGAGCACCTGGGGAAGTTGGACCAGGCCTTCAAGGATGTGCAGCGTTGTGCCACCCTTGAACCACAGAACCAGAACTTCCAGGAGACGCTGAGGCGGCTCAACACCAGCATTCAGGAGAAGGTAAGCCAGACCCCTTCCCACAAACCTCAGCTGCCCAACCTCCCCATTCCTTGTAGGGATGGGTCAGGAAACAGGGACATCAGGGCAGGGCTAGCCCTACTGCCACACTCTTAGCTGGAGACAGCAAGTGGCACAGGCAGCCTCCACAGCACAGCTGAGCAGGTGTACCTGTCTGAGAGTGACCGAAGAGGTGCTGTGATGCTTGTCTGAGGGCACAAGCCAGCCAGGGCTAGAAAACAGGTCTTTTAAGTCCCACATGGAGGCTTTTAAAAAAAATTATAACTTAGTATGTCTGCAACATGATCTTCCTCTCTTTCTAGGTACCTTGATATACCTGGGAATTGGGGAATATTGATGAAGGATAGAGGAGAATCAGGAATCAGTAGGAACACGACATCTTTCCTAGGAGAATGGAGTGGGGTGGGGAGAACCTGGACCAGAAATGAGGAATCCCTCACCCTGGTCCTGGCTCAGTTACTAATTTTCCGAGGGAACCCCTTGCAGTGTCGGTTTCCTCTGTGTAAAGCAGGAGGATAATTGATCACTTAGCTCCTTGCTCCAAGACTCAGTAACTCCTATGCGTCTGGAACAGCCCCATAGTGGGACCACAGCGCACTTTCCAGGGTGCAGACTCAAGGCCTGAGGAAATACAAATGAAGGAGAGATCAGAGAAGGGCTGGATGAAGGAAAGACCTCTCCCTACCCGAAAGGAAATGAGCCCAGACATAGACGAGGGTGCCAGCCAGCAGAACAAAGCAGTAGTGGGAGATGCAGAAGGAGCTGGCAAGATGGGGGATATGATCAGTTAGGTCATCCTATGAAAGATTCAGAGGGTTGGTGTACGGAGTGTGAGGGACTCAATGTCCAAACGTCATGGTTTCCATTTGCTCGAGGTGGTGCTTGAAAGCTGCTGCAGGATTCTGAGCCTGGCGGCATATTTCTGTTTTAGTCCCTGTTGAAATGTCTAATGGCTAATTGTTTACTTAAGCTCTAAAATTGGGCTGGTGATCCATCGCCTTCCCAGACCTAGAACAGTGCCTGGCACATAGTACCATAGCTATTCAGTAAATGGTTTTTGGTTTTTGTTGAATGAATAAATGAATGAACGAATATGCCTGGGCCCTAATATTTACCGCCATGAACTGCATGTGGAACAGACTGAAATGATGTGGGCCCCTGCCTGCCTCCTCCCCACGCCCTCCTCTCTCCTCAGCTCCGAGTGCAGTTTTCCACAGACTCGAGGGTACAAAAAATGTTCGAGATCCTCCTGGACGAAAACAGCGAGGCTGACAAGCTGGAAAAGGTGCGTGCTGGGCAGTGCCAGCGAGCCAGCAGAGGGCGCTCTCTGGACCGGCGGGAACGGCTCCTGCTGCGGGCCCCGCCTTTGTTCTGGGCCGTGACACCACTCTGGGGGGAGGGGGCCGGGAAAGGAAAATTGGCCAAAGGAGTCAGCACATTAGGAAACAGCAGGAACTAGAAGAAGGGCCAGGATTAGGGTGAATCCAGTGAGAAGAGTCATGCGGCAGGGTTGGATCCTGTCTTTATTTAAAATGTTGACATTTCGTTTATCACGGATTTTTTGGCATTGATTTCGATTTTTAAAAATATTGCATTCAATATTATTTATCTTGATTACTGAGTTTTTTTTGCGCCTCCTTAAATTTTGCAATCAAGGCGAGTGCCTCACCTGCCTCACCATAATTTTGGCCTTGAGAAACAATGACACGTGAAAATAATGCTTCGTTTCATTTAAAAATATTGCATAGAAGTTATTCTGAAATATTAAAATATTTACTAATACAATCATCCTCTTAACCAAATTGGTTGTATTTTTTTCGTGTTCCTTTCTAGTTCTTCAGAGGAAAAAAATTGAACATTTCAGTGTTTTCCATTTATAAGAACTTGCTAGACATGACTAGGAAATTTTTTGTTAATTTTATGGTCATTAAATCCATTTAATATGCAAACATCTTCTATAACAAACTCTTGTGAGGACTTAATGAGTTGTTATAAATAGAACAACTTTGTTCTGAAAAGCAGGAAGCCCTTAACTGATAGAGAGGGTCTGGTCACTCTTGCCTGGAATTCTCCATTCAGCACCCTCCCCAGCATCCCACCCCCAGTCCTTTGCCCAGCTTCCCTCTCCTCCTGCCTCATGAGTTCTCTCAGCCCTGGGTTATCAGGTCCTGCTTGAGATCTCCTACTCCAGATCCGGGGCCTTTTAAGGTACACGTATTCTCGAGTTGGAAGGATGGAGAAAGATTTGTGAACTTTGAGAAACTTCTAGCTCAACTGCCTATTTTTACAGATGAGGATTCTGGGATCCAGAGAGGTGCTGTGACTTGCCCAAGGTCACACAGCTCACAGGTAGCAAAATCAGAACTTAAACCCAGGGCTTTAAGGTCTCATCTAGTGCTCTTTCTGCCTACCCACCTTCTGCCTTTCTGAGAACCCCTACAATCTCAGATTCTCCTGAACAGGTGAGGGAAAATTTTTAAAGGAAAATGATTCTCCATGGAAAAGCACTTTATTTCTCTACCTTTTTCTAGTCCTTCTCCGTTAGCATGTACACACAGTTTCATTTTAACATAAATGCAATCAGAGTGAACATATGATACTGATTCTGCTTACCAATGTTCTTTCCAAGTGGCTCTGTAGTCTTTTTACTTATGACTTTAATGGCATCAAGTTGGTCTTTCTGCAAGTTATTTTGTTTCTTCTTTTGAATTATGTTCCTGGGCTTGTTCCAGGAATAGGATTATAAAACAAGATAGTATATAGATGTTCTTTATTTTTTTGATGACTGGCTAGTATGGGGATCCAAGCCCCTTGACCTTGGTGTTATAACACCACACTCTAACCACCTGAGCTAACCAGCCAGCTCTATAAAGATGTTTTGAAGACTCCATCCTTGCACCAGCCTCTGTACTTGACCCATGGTCAAGGCTTGGCAGTCATACCTACCTTGTGACCCTCACTTCCTCTTCCCTCCTTCAGGCTGCCAACAACCTCATTGTCCTAGGCCGTGAGGAAGCGGGGGCTGAGAGGATCTTTCAGAGCAACGGAGTTGCCCTGCTGCTACAGCTTCTGGACACAAAGAGGCCTGAACTGGTGCTGGCTGCAGTGCGGACCCTGTCGGGCATATGCAGTGGCCACCGAGCTAGGGTGAGGGCCTGGGGGTTGGGGTGCTTGGTGCAGATGGTTTCTGGTGCAGGGATCTGGAGGGTGACACATGGGCAGGGCTGTGACTGGCATAAATAGAACCTGATACAGGGTCTAGAGAGTTCCCTTCATCTTGGTTGTATGCCCCCAGATTCAAGAGAGTGCTCCAGTCCTTTTTCCTTTGGGCTGGAAATGGGTTTGACTAAGCAAAGATTAGGTTATTGAAGGTGATTTATGTGGAAGAGCTGAATGCAAAGACTATGATATTTTGCATGTCTTCACAGTAAGTCTTTGGAATCCAGTGTGTATTTCACACTTACAGCACATCTCATTGTGGTCTCACCACATTGCCAGTGCTCAGTAGCTGCACATGGCGAGTGACTAAACCTCTGCAGAAGGGCACGGCTTGTGTCAGGAGCCTTCCCAGACTGTGGGCCCCATGAGGCATTGGCTGCCTGGGCTTATTTCCCTACTGCACAGGGTGGCATGGGGGTGGTTATCTCCGAGTTCCTAACCTCCCGGCAGCTGGAAGGAGGGGCAGGGCAGTTGACGGTGGCTCTTGCTGGGGGTCTAGGCCACAGCGATTCTGCACACAGTCCGGATAGATCGAATCTGTAGCCTCATGTCCGTGGAGAATGAGGAGCCATGTCTGGCCATCTGTAACCTGCTCCAGGCCATCATTGACTCCCTGTCTGGGGAGGACAAGCAGGAGCATCGAGGGAAGGAGGGGGCCCTGGTTCTAGGTAAGAGACATTCTTCAGTGTTGCTTCAAGGGGGTGGGGGAAGGGAGAGTCAGTCACCACCTCAGACTGGGCAGTCCCTGCATGTGGAGGTGGCTCGGTTTCACTTGTATGTGTATTTTCCGATTAGAAAAGCAGCAGAGGCATAGCAGCAGTATTCACAACAGCCAAAAGGTGGAAACAACCCAAGTGTCCATCAGCAGGTGAATGGATAAGCAAAATGTTGGTAGATGCACACAATGAAATATTACTCAGCCTTAAAAAGGAAGGACATTCTGACACATGCTACAACCTGGATAAACCTTGAGGACATTATGCTTAGTGACATAAGCCAGTCAGAAAAGGACAAATACTGTATGATTCCACTCATATGAAGTACTTAGAGTAATCAAATGCATGGAGACAGAGAGAAGAATGGTGTTTGCCGGGGGCCAGGGGAGGGGGAATAGGGAGTTATTGTTTAATGGGTACGAAGTCTCAGTTTTGCAAAATGAAAAGAGTGCTGTGGATGGATGGTGGTGATGGTTGCACAACAGTGTGAATATAATTAATGCCACTGAACTGTACACTTAAAAATGGTTAAAATGGTAAATTTCATGTTTATGTATATTTTACCACAATTTTTAAAAAGTAGCAGACGCTTACTGGAGAAATTCAGAAAAATATATAAAGATGGAAAAAAATACCTGTAATCACCCATTCAGATAACCACTGTCATCACTACCACGTGTATGATTTCTATCTTTTTTCTATCCATCCATATAAATATCTATTTAACAAAAATGAAATTCTGCTGTGGATGGTTTTATTTTTTTTCTTCACTGAGCATTATATTAGTATTGCATACCCTTTAATGTTCTTTAAAAGGCTTCCCTTGATTTTAATAATTATTCATTTCACATTTACTTCCGACGTATGTGCACATACACCCTCCTGCTTCTTCCCGCACAGCCAGGTTCTAGGCATCAGATTAGAAGTTCCTGCTGTGGCTGGGAGGGTCACAGAGGCAGGTTCACCTAGAAAATTTTATTTTAAATATTTCATAATATTCCCTCATGTGGAATGTATCGTAGTTCCTCAACCTGCTTTATTTTAGCTTTATCTTTATTAGAGATTTAGATTGCTTCCAATTTGCATGCTTATAAAGAACACTTCAGTAGCCATTCTTTACATAAATCTATGTTTGCTTTTGTAATTATGTCCTTGGGACAAATTCCTAGAAGTAGGAGTACTAGGTCAAAGGCTACAAAGATAACTAAAATTGTTTCTCCATCTTACCTTCCAGTTTCTTTCTGAGAGAATGCATTAATTGGACTCTCAAGTGATGATGTCCCTATTTCAACACATTCTCACCAGATTTGAATATTACCATTCTTTTTTTTTTTTTTTAAAGATGACCAGTAAGGGGATCTTAACCCTTGGCTTGGTGTTGTCAGCACCACGCTCTCCCAAGTGAGCTAACCGGCCATCCCTATATGGGATCCGAACCTGGGGCCTTGGTGTTATCAGCACCACACTCTCCCGAGTGAGCCACGGGCCGGCCCCGAATATTGCCATTCTTAAAGATATTTTTCTATTCAGTAGATTAAATTGACCTTGTTTGAATTAAAAAAAAAAATTACTAGTGAGATTGATCATTTTTCTTTATCTTTATTGTGCAACTTGGATTTGTCTTCAAATGATTTGTTCATGTTGTTACCTATCTTTTCTGTTTGGGTGTCAATGTTTTTCTTATTTGTTTATAAGAGCTCTTTAAAGGTTAATAATATTTTAACCTTTTGGAGTCCTGGATTCTTGATGTAGCTCTGACTTACTATTTTAATGGTCAGCAAGTCACTTGCCTTTTCTGAGCTAGAATTTTTGGAAGGTCCAAGATGGCCTTGCTTGTATGGCTGGTGGTTAACTGGAGATGTTGGTGAGAAAAACTTGGTTTTTCTCCTTGTGGCCTCTCTAGTGGCCAGCTTGAGTTTCTATAAAGCAGGATGGCGGAACTCTAAATGGACAAGCCTCAGTGTGCAGGTGCTTTCTTTTTTTTTCTGACCGGTAAGGGGATCACAACCCTCGGCTCGGTGTCGTCTGCACAACGCTCAGCCAGCGAGCGCACCGGCCACCCCTATGTAGGATCCGAACCCACGGCCTTGGCGCTACCAGCGCCGCACTCTCCCGAGTGAGCCACGGGGCCGGCCCTGCAGGTGCTTTTTAAGCCTCTGGTTGTGCCACAAGTTATGGACCAACCCAGGGCCAGTGTGGGAGGAGACCACCAAAAAGCATGAATATTGAGAGGTGCGCTTCATTGGCAGCCAATAATGTACAATCTTCCACAATTTCCTTGGGAAGTAGTAAGTTGTTGGACATCTCTGCTGCAAAATTCTTCCATATGTTGATTTCAAACCTATCTCCTTGTAGCTTCCACCCACCTCTGTCCTAATTCTGCCTTCTGGAGCCTCACAGAATAAGTCTGCTATCTCACCCTCACAACAGATTTTTGTCTGAAAAGAAGCTATCATGTCTACTTATGTCTTTCCTCCTCCAGGCCCCATTTCTTCAGCAGTTATTTATCTGACATAGTTTGGAGATCTTTACTTTTCTGCCTGCTTGCCTGCCTTTGCGCTCCATGCTAGGTTGAGAACAAACACATCTCTAAGTCTCAGGGAAATCAGACAGAAAACATCAGGAAAAGGCATTTGCCTTTTAAGATCCAGCAGTGGGAGGGGAAGTCCTGGCATCACAGGCAAAGGCTTGAATTCTGGCTTCCAGCGTGCCTGAATCTGTGGGGAGTGAAATGCCTGTAAGGTGTGTACGTTTCCTCTCTGGAAAACATTTTATTAAATCAGTTTGTTAAAGACTACATGAAGCGTCCCTGGAACTCTGCCAGTCATTGCTGGGAGTGAAGAACTTTCTAAGAACCAGAGCTGATCAAGGACGGAGTGGACTGTAATAGAAGTCACTGTTGCGAGCGGCTGGAGGACCCCTTGGGTGGGTTGTTTAGAGATTTCCCTCCCTTTTGAGGAGTGAGATGGGCAATACTATACTCTCCTCGGAAATGCACATATCCAGGAAGCCTGGATACAGTATTTCCAGAGTCTAGAATCCTCTGCTATTCCTGGTACTGTATATCTGAGACTCCCTACTCCTCTCTATTTATCCCTGTTTTCTCGTTTCTCAGACTCCAAGAAGGACCTGAAGCAGATCACCAACCACCTGCTTGACATGCTGGTCAGTAAGAAGGTATCTGGCCATGGCAGGGATCAGGCACTGAACCTCCTCAATAAGAATGTCCCCAGGAAGGACCTTGCCATTCATGACAACTCCCGTACCATCTATGTGGTGGATAACGGTGAGGAGGCAGGAGGGTTTGGGGTTCACTCAAGCCTTGTAAGTGGGTGTCAAGATACCAGGCACTGAGCAGAAAGTGGAAGAGGTGAAGCTCTTGTCTGGAAGGATTCTTCAGTCCCAAATGAAAAGGCGAGAGAATGCATCAGCATAGTAGAATCCACCAGTGGTCTGGTGAAGGTGTAGGTCAAGGCTCCGAATTCACCCAAAACATCTGGGTGGAGTTACCTAACAGATGCGGGCAAGTGCCAAAACCAAACAGGACTCCATCATCCATGGGATAACATGCCAGAAGTCTCATGGTTGGTAAAATACTTCACAGGTCCTCGAGAAGGGAGAAAATGGCTTAAGTATATTTACATAAAGCACAGTAAAAATGTTCTAGCAGGTAGTTACTAAATTTGTCAGCTCCAGGGTGTTACCCCTCTCCTAAACAAACTTCTTTAATTGTTCCGGAATCACACCTGCAGCTTTATCATCTGCTATGGTACATTGTCTCACAGGTTTTATGACATGTAGACTATATCTTGTTCTAAGAGGTTCACATCGGCCTTTACTGGCTTAAAATTTGTTGTGTTTTGATACTGCATTTCCCTTGTTTGGTTTTCACAGATCTCAGCAGAGCACATGTGCAAGTGCTCAAACATTAACACATTGCTCTAGTGCTCGAGGCCTGCCCCCTTCCCCACCCCCATTTTCCCCCAATTCTGGTCTTCTCCCCCCACCCCAACTTTTCCCCCAATTCTGGTCTTCTCTGCATAAATTATGAAGGATGAGCATCAACAACAGACCTCCAGACCTCGTCTGTCTGCACTAGGATCTAGGCTCAGCCACGTGATTTATGGGATGGGGCAGGTGGGGAGCAATATTTTTTGTTCTATTTCTTTGTTGAAGCGCTCCAAAATGAACAGCACTTAAGTAAAAAGAATGTGGGTTTTAAAATTCTGGTATACTCATGCAAAGCTGCAATGTTGAGGTATTAAATGTTGTGCAAACTGGGCTGGGAGACACAGGCCAGCACTGGAAGATGGCAATAATAATTTCTAGCCAGTAAGGTTAGTGTTGGGATTAAATGAAATAACACGTATAAACCTCTCAGCACATAGTAAGTGCCCCAAATAACTTCCAACCCTCATTTTGCTGGGGTGAATCACCCTATCCATGGTGTTATCACTGTGCCTATCACACCTTATTGTCATTTTTATGTCTGTTTTCCGTACTGCACTGTGAGGTCAGAACCTAAAAGGTGCTCATTTATTCATTCACTTATTCAACAAATACATGATTATTGAATTAGCCTGATGGATGGAGGAAGCCATTGAAGATTCTTCAATAGTAGAGATGAGAATAAATAGCGAATGGTATTTATTAAATAAATAATAGCTATTTACTGAGTGATAATGTTATGTCTGGATTGGCACTAGGCAGTTTCCACACATTATCTTATTGAGTCCTAAAACTCTATAAGATAGGTAGCATCATTCCCATTTTACAAATAAAGAAACTGAGGCCTGGGGAAAAGAGAGTATAAAGTAACATGAAGAAGATTATAGATCAACCCATGCAATGCAGGCACTGGTAGAGTTCTCTGAGGTCAACTAGTTTTGATTTTGTAAATGTGAGAACAGAGGCCTGTAGAGGAGGTGAAATCCTCAAGGCCGGGGGGAGGCGGATGTAGAACCTGGGTCTCCTGACCCCATTCCAGTGCCCTTCACTCTGGATAAACCACGTGTTGCCTAAAGACAGGGCTGAGGAGAAGCTGGTGATGAGACATGACTGAGCGAGGGGGTGTGCTTGTGAGGACAGGGCCCAGCTGCAACCTCACCCTTGCCGCTGTCTCCCCTGCAGGCCTGAGAAAGATCCTGAAGGTAGTGGGGCAGGTTCCAGATCTGCCGTCCTGCCTCCCCCTGACCGACAACACCCGCATGCTGGCCTCTATCCTCATCAACAAGCTGTACGATGACCTGCGCTGCGACCCGGAGCGTGACCACTTCCGCAAGATCTGCGAGGAGTACATCACGTGAGTTTCCTGGAGGCCTTGCAGAGTCCAGCTCGGTATTAGTTATCTACAGCTGTGTAACAGATGATCCCCAAATTTAGTAACTTGAAACAACAAGAATCATTCATTATTTCACAGTAGCACAAGAATTGGGGGTGGTTTGGCTGCTTAGGTTCTAATGCAACCTGGCTCAGGTTCTCATGAAGTTAGTGGTGTGCGGGCCTGAGCTGTAGCCACCGGAAGGTTTGACAGGGGCTGGAGGGTGTTCCAAAATGGCACAGTCACAGGGCTGGCACGTTGGTCTCGGTTCTTCTCCATGCAGACCTCTGCACAGGCTGCTAGAGTGTCCTCACCACATGGCAGCTGGCTTCCTCCAGAGTGAGCGACCCAAGAGAGAGCAAGGCAGCGGGGCAATGTCTTTGTAATGTAGCCTCAGAAGCCACACACCATCACTTCTGCTACGTTCTATCTGTTGGAAACAGGTCATCAAGCCTGGACTACATTTAAGGAGAGAGAGTTAGGTTTCACCTTTTGAAGGGAGGAGTGTTCAAATATTTGGGGGCATTTTTATTTTTATTATAAGATGACCGGTGAAGGAATCTTAACCCTTGACTTGGTGTTGTCAGCACCACGCTCTCCCAAGTGAGCAACCGGCCATCCCTATATAGGGATCTGAACCCGTGACCTTGTTCTTATTATTAGCACCACACTCTCCCGAGTGAGCCACGGGCCGGCCCTGGGGGCATATTTTAAACCTACTTCTGGCTTCTGTGGTTGAAAGGAGCAAATGTCGGGCCGGCCCGGTGGCGCACTGCTACAGTGCGCCGCTTGGGAGTGCGGCGGCGCTCCCGCCGAGGGTTCGGATCCCACATACAGACTGGCTGCTCACTGGCTGAGCGAGGTGCGGACGCAACGCCGAGGGTTGCGATCCCGTTGCTGGTCACGAAAAAAAAAAAAAAAAAAAAAAAAAAAAAAAAAGAAAGGAGCAAATGTCAGCTTGTCAGGGAAGGAGGCCTGGCTCTGTCAAGACTTTAAGAACCACGTGGCTTTGCAGAGACTAGACAGGCCCCTCAGGAGCTAGAGTTCCTGGGTCTCCTTGCTGCCCCTCCATCACCACCGTAACTCAGATGCTTCTCTGGGTCTTCTTTTCTCTTTTTGTGTCCTTTCCCTTCTCCTCCCACTGCTATGTGGCCTTTTAACTCTTTATTCCAGTGACTCTCAAACTTGTAAATTATTCAGATTTCTGGGACACTCACCCTTGACTCAGTTTTCTGGGGCGTGGCTCTGGAAGCTGCTGCTTACAAGCGCCCCAGGTGAGGCAGGTGGGTGAAGACACTACCTTTGCTCTGCTTTTCCTTTCTCTCTGCCAGGGATTGACAAACTTTTTTTTTTTTTTAATATTTCTGTAAAGGGCCAGAGAGTAAATATTTCAGTCTTTGTGGGACATACAGGTTTCTATCATGTATTTTTTTTTAATGCAAACCACATTTTTAGCTCCTTGTCAACTCCTGCTCTATCTTGAGCTTCTATTAACCCCTGACTTTGGTTCACTTAAAGCTCCTCATGGTTTCTCTGTTTGTCTACCACAGCTCCAGCTTTTCCTGCTAACTTCTTGAATCTCTCATGTGGGCCCAAATTGAGTTCCAATAACTGTCACCCAGCTAGTCCTTGCTTGGGCAAAGCTTTTTGATAGGGTCCCCCACCCCCACTTGAGTCAGCCTGTGGAATGCTGAGTAGGTGGGGTCACCACCTTCAACAAATGGTGCCTGACACTGCCCCTAGGAAGGGGGTAAAACACTCTGCTTCGTCAGGGGCCAGGGCCTGTGTGGGTTCAAGAACTAGTTGGCATCAGGTACCAGCTTAAAGGACAGACCCCAACTAATTACGAAAGACTCAGGGTTTTCTGGGCACTGAGTGGGCAGATGAGGCACAGGACACAGAATGTCCAAACTGGAGAGGCTCCAGAGCTTCTAAGGCTGACCCCTCTACCCCCGAAGGACTTGCCCGAGGTCACCCAGCAGTCAGAGGCAGATATGGTACCAGAGCTCAGGTCTCGGACTCTTGGTGTGGAATCGTCCTGACAAGTCCATGCTGCTGCCTTTCATTTATACAGATTTGCACTTCAGCTGTGCACATCTGCCCTGACTCCACACACCACACCAACCTGGGCAGGACACAGAAGCATCAGAAGACATGCCACTCTGATGTCCCCATGCAGAGCTACTGCCCTGGAGTAGCTCTTCTGAAAGCAAGGTAGAAACTCTCACTCATCTAGCCTACAGCCTTACTGAGACCAGAGCACCAGGCCAGGTTGCAGAGCGAGACAGTCTGCCAGACACCCCGTGAGGCCCTTTTGTGTTGTACTGTCCCACCAGACACCCCAGCTGCTAGAAAGGCTGTCACTGGCAGCTCTCAGCTGTCACCTCTCTTTGGGACTTGCCTCAGCTAAGGAGAGCTGTCTCACTCTCACCAGGACAGCTGGCACCCAATGACTCACCCTAACTTGGAACAACTTTGAAGGGTGTCCCAGCTCCAGAACTCCTCGCAGGCTGAGGCTTTGCAGTGACAGCACTGCAGCCCAGTGCCTCCCTCTACCCAGTCCTGCTTCCATCTCTTCCTAAGAGCTCTCTCTAGTAAACTCCCTGCATCTCAACCCCCGCATCAGAGTGTGCTTCCCAGAGGACACATCCTGTGACACATCTGTTATGTCATTTGTCCTCACCAGAATTCTGAGAAGTGGAAGTATCATCCTCAGTTTACGGAAGCTGAGGCTCAGAGAGGTTCAGTGCATTGCCCAGCATCACACAGCACATGAGTGGTGGGACCACGATGCAAATCTAAATCTGTCTGCCTCCAAATCTCATTCTTTTCACCTCCTTGAGCCAGTTCTCTTGATCGCCCTTGTCCTCTGCTTTAGGGGCAAGTTCGACCCCCAGGACATGGACAAGAACGTGAATGCCATCCAGACAGTGTCAGGGATCCTGCAGGGCCCCCTTGACCTGGGCAATCAGTTACTGGGGCTGAAAGGTGTGATGGAGATGATGGTGGCACTGTGTGGCTCGGAGCGTGAGGTGGACCAGCTGGTGGCCGTGGAGGCCCTCATCCATGCCTCCACCAAGCTCAGCCGAGCTACCTTTATCATCACCAACGGCGTGTCACTGCTCAAAGAGATCTACAAGACCACCAAGAACGAGAAGATAAAAATCCGCACACTGGTGGTGAGTAGGCTCGGTGCCACCCACCTGCCTGGGACCAGGGACACCAGGGTGTATGAGGCATGGCCCCTAACCTATAAGAGAGGATGCTCGACAGGGGCACCCAGACCCATCCACAGGCCCCACGGAACAGGCTGATATGCAAGTGGCTGTGAGGACCTACATTCAGAATGGGACACAGTGCTGCTTAACCCTGAGGACATTCGCCTCCATGCTTATGAACCACACTAACCCAGATGAGCTTTCATCCAGAGAGTATTTTCAGAGAAAACTCCAAAACGTCCTGTGAGGACCTACATTCAGAATGGGACACAGTGCTGCTTAACCCTGAGGACATTCGCCTCCGTGCTTATGAGCCACACTAACCCAGATGAGCTTTCATCCAGAGAGTATTTTCAGAGAAAACTCCAAAACGTTAATTAATCAGTTTCTTTATGTCACATATGTCACACTTTGTTTCACTTTTTCAATTTTCATTTACTAAAATTATTGTCATTGATCTTTTTTTTTCTTGTAAACAATGACAGTAAAGATTTGAGTCATTGATCTGGTATTTTATTAATATTGATTTTTTAAAAACCGATTTACAGAAGACATTTTTTTTCCAACAAAAGTTTGATTTTTTTCTGGGTCAAGTTTGCACATCTGAATTTTTTACCCATAGGATATGATTTTTTTTGCCAGTCTTTGTGCCATAATTAGTGTTGCCATTACAGTTTCAGATATGGTCAGCATTCTCTTGTGCTGGTTTTTCAAAATGCCAGGCACAATGCATCTGTGAGCTCAAAATGGTAGGGGAAAGGGATAGGTAACAACCTCCAGCTTTGTGGGCACCTACCCCAACCTAAGAGCATCAGGGAAGGCCTCTCAGAAGAGGTGACCCTTGAGCCGAGTTTTGTGGTACCCATAGAGGAGCAACCAGGCAGAGAGAAGAGGCGAAGTGTTCTGGCCACAGGTAACTGCTTGAGCAAGGCCTTGTCCCCTGCCTTGCTGTCTCTGATCCTGCGTGTGTCTCCCCCGCTCCACAGGGACTCTGTAAGCTCGGCTCTGCAGGAGGCACAGACTATGGTCTCAAGCAGTTTGCTGAAGGGTCAACAGAGAAGCTGGCCAAGCAGTGCCGCAAGTAAGGGGGTTGTATTTCCCAGGTCCTCTGTCTCTTCTGGGCTTCTGCACATAGGTCTCTGGGGGGTGCTCTAGTGGATACCAGATAGCAAAAGGCTCCTCACCTGCTGTCCACTATGCTGACATCACTTTGCCCCCTTGACCCAAGCCCTGGCACCCTTCCCCAGCAGCTGTCCCTCGCCTCTTCCAGGTGGCTGTGCAATGCATCCATAGACACCCGGACCCGGCGCTGGGCAGCGGAGGGCCTGGCCTACCTCACACTGGATGCTGATGTGAAGGACGACTTTGTCCAGGACATCCCTGCCCTGCAGGCCATGTTTGAGCTGGCTAAGGCAAGTGTGGCCCTGACCCCAACCTCAGAAAGGATCTACAGGACCCAGGCCCACAGGAATTAGACCCCTGTGTCCTTATCCCAGCTCTATCGGTTATCCGCCATGTAAACCTGGATTGGTCATTTCACTCTTTCTGACCCTCATATTACCTGACTGTAAAATGGACTCAGGACTCTTCACGCCTTCTGGCAGTGGGAGAATGGACAAGAGGGCCCTCAAGAAGTGGCCCTGCCCTCCTTCCGAGCCCCTCCCAGATGCCTTTCCTCCTCTGTGGGGCCAACTCCCTGGCTCTTCTCCACCAGCAAAGGGAGGAAGAAGTGTGCGAGGGATTTCCACCAGCGCCAGCCCAGAGGATGTCCCGTTCCCACCCCAGTCGGATGGGAAAGTGTGAGGGACTGGGCTTTTGAAAGAGGCCCAAAGTGAGGAGCTTTGTGAGAAGACCCCTGTTCATACCCTTGGGGTGCTGCTGAGGGTGTGGTGGACACTTCTGCCCATGCTTTATGAGCAGAGCTCTTCTTCTCCAGGATGAGCCCCACCAGCCACACTCCTCCAAACCAACCTGCCCCATGTGGGGGAGCTGTCTTGGAAGCAGAGGTTTGTTCTAAAGTTTCCTTTCTGCCTCCCCCCTACCCCACCCTTTGCCTCCAGACCAGTGACAAGACCATCCTGTACTCCGTGGCCACCACCCTGGTGAACTGCACCAACAGCTACGATGTCAAGGAGGTCATCCCTGAGCTGGTGCAGCTCGCCAAGTTCTCCAAGCAGCACGTGCCTGAGGAGCACCCCAAGGTGAGTATGGGGACGGCTCGGGAGGGGGCCTGCGCCACCGGACCCCCAGAAGAGAAGTAGTGGAAAGAACAGTGATGTCAGTTTCTGTGCAGGGTGTGTTTGGGAGGGTTTGGGATAAATTTACTGACATACCGAGGAGGATGATGGTCAGTTTCCCCACTGGGTGGCACTCGTGTTTTTTCTTTGTTTTCATTTTCTATCTTGGAAAAACCCAAAAATGTGCAGTCTGAGAAAACAAATGGAGCCATGATAAACATTTTGATTTCATGGATATAAGGCAGTTTTATTTCATATTTCCAACACTTACAAAAATTCTATATTCTGGGATATCTGAATATGGGGAGAAGTATGTTAATCTCTTATTGCTGCTGTAACTCACGGCTAAAAACAGAGTAACCTAAAACCACACAAATTTACCTTACGGTTCTGACAGTCAGAAGTCGTAAAATCAGTCTCACTGGGCTAAAGTCAAGGCTTCGGCTGAGCTGGTTCCTTCTGGGGGCTGCAGGGGAGAATGGATTTCCTTGCCTTTTTCAGCTTCTACAGGCCACCTGCATTCCCTGGCTCGTGACCTTGAATCACTCCAACCTTTTACTTCCTTTCCACTGTCACGTCTCCTAGTACTAACTCTGATGAAGACCCTTGTAATTATATTGGACAATCCAGGATCACCTCCCAGTCTCAAGATCCTTAACCTAATCACATCTGTAGTCTCTTTTGCCATGTAAGGTCACACATTCACCGGTTCTAGGGGATTAAGACGTGGACATCTTTGGAGGCCATTATTCAACCTACCACAAGAATTCAGAAATGCACCATCTTTAGTTCCAATGCAGATTGGCCTAGTGCCCAGGTGCCTTCCCCATTGCCCCCCTTTCATCTCCACAGGACAAGAAGGACTTTGTAGACATGCGGGTGAAGCGGCTTCTGAAGGCGGGTGTCATCTCCGCGCTGGCCTGCATGGTGAAAGCGGACAGTGCCATCCTCACTGACCAGACCAAGGAGTTGCTGGCCAGGTGTGGCTGAAGTGGGCCAGGGCTGGGGGCTGGGGGCTGAGGGGACTGGAAGACAGGAGGCTGGGCAGGGAGATAGAAATAGTGGGGGACTAAAGGAGGAGATGAGCCTCTTGTGGGCCCGAAGAGGGACTGAAGGGGATCAGCTTTGAAAATGGCACAGTGGGCAGGTCATCAAAGGTAGATGTTCCCATCAGGACGAAGGAGGTCACTGTCCATTCTGGTTACCTTGTTCCCAGAGATTAAAGGCATTGTGCAGCCTAGTGGGGAGGCAGACAAGGTCACAGTCACAGTACAGTGCAATGGGTGTCGTGATGGGGAAGCACAGAGGGTTGTTTGCAGCACAAGAAGTGGCACCCAACCAGCCAGACTTCAGGGCAGGTGGGTGGGCAGCCAGGAAGGCCTCCCAGAGGATGTGGCAACTCAATGGAGCCCTGAAAGAAGGAAAGGAGCCACCCAGGTGCAGGTGAGGGAAGGGTTCCAGGCAGAGGGAATAGCATATGCAAAGACAGTGAATTTGGGGTTCTCCTGCAATACATCTGGAGCATGGAGTGCACAGGAGGGAGGTGCTAGATGAGGCTAGAGAAGACGCCAGGGCAGATCGTGGAGGTGAAGAGCTCCTAGGTTGTGGGCAACAAGGAATCATTGATTATCTCCCTGAATAAGGATGGGTGGCTCTTTGCAGTCTTGCTTGGTCTTGCTTCCTCCCCAGCCACTTATGTCCATAGCAGTATCTTCCCAAGGTGACTAATTCTGGGCACGGGCATATAGGTTGCATTTTCTTTTTTCTTTTTTTTTTTTTTTCATTTTTGTCTTTTTTACTGACCGGTAACGGGATCACAACCCTCGGTGTCGCACCCGTACCGGGGACCGGCAACGGGATCGCAACCCTCGGTGTTGCGCCCGCACCGCGCTCAGCCAGTGAGCGGGAACTGGTCTCCACATGGGATCCGAACCCTCGGCGGGAGTGCCACCGCGCTCCCAAGTGGCGCACTCTCCAGTGCGCCACTGGGCCGGCCCATAGGTTGCATTTTCCAGGGTGTCACTGGCTCTGACTTGTTGGCCTGTTGATGCCTGGGAAGGGGTGTATTAAATGTTCTCCTTTATTCTTGGCTTTGAAGGGTATTCCTGGCACTGTGTGACAACCCAAAGGACCGAGGCACCATTGTGGCTCAAGGTGGTGGCAAGGTAATTGGGCAAGATAAGGACCTAGAATGTGCTATGCTGGGGAGGAGCACTGTATGTGTGCACGTGGGTGTGTGCATCCTCCTTGCTGGCCCAAGAATAGTGTACTCCCTGCTCCAAACCAACCTCCTGAAATATGGTCACTCAGTTATCTGTGCTGTCTGTGCTCAGAGCCCCAAATCCATTTCTGCTTGATTTTATGATGTGCTGTAGGATTTGCTTTAGAATCCCCTCTGTCCTCTTAGCTATTGTAAGGAAGCCCGGTGCAAAAATAGA